TTTTTGATTATAATTTAAAAAATCCATCAAATGCCCAAGACTTACCACTATGGCCTTCAAGAGTTTGATTCATAGAAAGATTGCTAGGAGCTGCAAGTCCCTTTATTTTTGCTTCATCTAAAAATAACAAAAATAACTATAAAATAAACCTAACAAAGTAAGGTTATTACTGTCTGTAACAGTACTTCAACACTAATGACCATTTACATAAATAAAATTATAAAGGCATATCTGTAGTATGGATTTTCCACCTCTCAGTTCAACATGTTTGATATCCAAATTCAGATTGATCATTATGCTTGAACTACTTCTAAGAAAACAAAACAAAACAAAGCAAAATCTATGGCTATCACACCAGAAAGAGGTTTAAAAGAACTGGAGAATACATCAGATTTCACTTTTCTCTGAACATGTTTAACTTCAAAGAAATACACAAGTTTCTAGCTAGAATAATGCAGATGGTAGACAACATTTAAAAATAGACAAGAAATCAATGAAATTCATTTCAAAACAAACAAATCACAGAATAATAGAATGGCCTGGGTTGAAAAGGACCACAATGATCATCTAGTTTCAAACTCCTGCTATGTGCAGGGTCGCCAACCAGCAGACCAGGCTGCCCAGAGCCACATCCAGCCTGGCCTTGGATGCCTCCAGGGATGGGGCATCCACAGCCTCCTTGGGCAACCTGTTCCAGCGTGTCACCACCCTCTGTGTGAAAAGCTTCCTCCTAAGATCTAACCTAACTCTCCTCTGTTTTAGTTTAAAACCATTTCCCTTGTTCTATCACTATCCACTCTTGTATACAGCCATTCCCCCTCCTGTTTATATGTTTCCTTCAACTATTAGAAGGCCAGAATGAGGTCTCCCTGGAGCCTTTTCTTCTCCAAGCTACACAGTCCCAGTTCCCTCAACCTCTCTTCATAGGAGAAAATGTCATATAATAGAATCACAGAATGGCTTGGGTTGAAAAGGACCACCATGACCATCTAGTTTCAACCCCCTGCTATGTGCAGGGTTGCTAACCACCAGTCCAGGCTGCCCAGAGCCATGGCTATATAAAAATAATATATAAAAATGTCTATATAAAAATAACAAAAATGAAAGTTATGCCCAGAAAGAAGATGCACTGGAAGTTCAGTGAGTGTAAAGCTCAATAAATGACAAGTATGCCACGTAAGGCAAGCAAAAGGAAAACAGTGGAAAATGGCAGTGCTTCTGATGCTTATGCAAATATATAACCATCTGTAACAGATTTAAAACAAATGCAATATTGTCAAGCAAGTTCTGGAGAGAGTTGTGCTTTCAGAACTTTGAAGTGCAGTGCGTTCTGTACTTTAAAAAAAGGTGTTTCTTTTTTTTTAAGTGTGAATTACCTGTCTGTGTTTCTAATCTTAAAACTTTCAGTAATCCATCCTCTCCACCACAGGCTATGAAGCCTTCTTCCTTGTTCCAGGAAATACATCTTAATCGGACATTACCAGGAATTGCAATCTGAAAACAAAACATCTTTTTATCCGTACATAGTAGCAAAGAACCATTTTTTTTTTAAATGTCAGAATACTATAAGAACGCCTCAAAAAACCTATAGCACAGAATTTAAACGGAATTATATACAGAAGTAAAACGCTGCAACTCAAAACTTTAGAAAAGGGGAACACAGTGCATGTAACGCATAATCATGGAACGGTTTGGGCTGGAAGGGACCTCGCAATTCCATCCCCCTGCTACAGGCAGGGACACCTCCCTCTAGCCCAGGCTGCTCACAGCCCCATCCAGCCTGGCTTTGAATGCTTCAGGGAGGGGACATCCACAGCCTCACTGGACAACCCGTTCCAGTGTCTCACCCCCCTCACAATAAAGAATTTCTGCCTGATATCTAAACCCACACGGCTGCTCAGCGCTGGGCTCAGCCGCTGGGAGAACAGCCGAACCGAACCCCCTGAGGATCCCTCAAGGGCCCCGCGCCACCGCTCTCTGCAAGCGGAGAATTCCGCCCCCTCCCCGTGAGCCGCCCGCCGCCCCCTCGGTCCGCCGGCAGCACCTTCTTGCACAGGTAGATGAACATCCTGGGACAGGAGCGCGGCACAGCGGCACAGCGCCACAGCGCCACAGCGCCAACCTCCTTGGTTGCCCTGGCAACGGCCGCCGGAAGCGCACTCTTGGCGCTTACCTCCTACTTCCGGGCAGCAGCG